CTCTCTTCCAGAATTTTATAACTAGCTGTCTACTTATGGCCACATGGATCTTTTGTAGGCATCCTACACTGAACTCTTGATCTTTGCTTGTTCCAAATCCTGCTTTTCTTGCTCATCTTCCCTATCTCAATATACGATACTTCTCTCATACACATGTTTAAACAGAAACCTAGAAAGCATTCAGCATTATCCTCTGGACTTCTGCAATAGCCAAAATTGATTACTTTCTTGCCTTCTCTCTTTACATCAGGCGTCTTCAAACTATGGCCTGTGGGCCAAATGCAGCCCGCCAGGTGTTTTTGCCACCCCTGCCTGTCCTGCTTAGCAGCTGACTCGTCCCAGGGCCCACAGTCCAGCCCTCCAACGGTCTGAGGGACAGTGAACTGGCCCCCTGTTTAAAAAGTTTGAGGACCCCTGCTGATACAGCTGCCATCAAGATTATTTAAAAATGTAAATTATTTTGTTTCATGTCACTTCATTCGTTAAAATGTCAAGGGTTTTTCATTGCACTTAGTAAAACCCAAAATTCTTAGCATCACCAACAAAGTCCTATGTCCCCGCTTCCGTCTCCACATTCAGTCATATCACCGTCCCCCTCGGTCACTGTCTTTCAGTCTTCCTGGTGTGCTTTCAGTTCTTCTGTCAAGCCTCTTCAGCCAGGAATGCCCCTACCCCCTCAATCCTCTAACTCTGTCAGGTTAAATCCTATTTATCTTTCTGTTCTCAATTTAATGTCACTTATTCACACATTCACTAGCCAACTCCCTTCAATCTCCATTCTTAATAAAGGACTCCACCTTGCCTTAGTGTTTCTGTTATAGCATCCTTTGAAGCACTTAACATAATTGGCAATTAACCAGTAATAAATAAATAGCAGCTTTGTCCCCCACTAAATGTGCTTGCCTTTAGGTGAGGGACTGTGTCTGACTTGGTAACTAATACACTTGGCACATAGTGACCTCTCAAAGTGTTATTTGTTGACTGACTGACTTAATGAATGAGTTAATAAATGAATTAAGTTTACAGCCCTTGCTGCCTTGGTAAGTTCTGGGCCCTCACCAAAGAATTCTCTGTATGGCGCCTGTAGCTCAGTGAGTAGGGAGCCGGCCACATACACCAAAGGTGGCAGGTTTGAGCCTGGCCTGGGCCTGCTAAACACAATGACAACTGCAACCAAAATATAGCCGGGCATTTGGGCGGGCACCTGTAGTCCCAG